AGACCCGCCTTGAATTGCTTGGGAGGTAGCCCTTATAGCAGACTGACTCAAGATTCGCCCTGTTTTTAAACCATTCTCAACTATTTAACCGGTTTTGATGGCCTTGGCAAATGGCTTCCGCATCGCAGACATCATGTTCTGATAATAATCAGCCTCTTGGGCTTGAATAAAGACATTAACCATCTTTGTTTCATCTATTAGAGGCTTGACTCTGGCCGCTTGTTCGCGCCATTTGACAATATACTCTCGGAAGCTTTATGAGGACTTCTTCTTTAGATTTGACAATGAATTCCTGTTAGGGGCAATGTCAATGTTATATTGAAACTACCTGACAAAGTCCCGAGCTAGGTCATCCCAGATATGTCAATTGGATATATCCTGATCCATATACCATTCAGAAGCAATGCCGACCAAACTCTCTCCAAAGTAAGCCATGAGAAGCTCCTCTTTTCTGCCTGCTCCCTGTAATTGGTTACAATACCTTTTAAGGTGGGCTATGGGATCCCCATGCCCATCATATATTTCAAACTTTGGGGTTTTGAAACCCAAGGGTAAATGTACGTGCGGGAACATGCACAGGTCAACATAGGGTACACTCTTTTGCCCGCTCAAACCTTGTATATTTTTGAGACTCTGCTCCATACTCCTCATTTTTCTGGTAATCTCCTCTTGTTTAGGATTTTTTGTGGTTTTCTCTTGCCCCATAGTAAACTCGTACCGGGGCGGCTGAGGGTAGGCATTGGTAGTAAGCTGGGTAGGTTCCAGTGGAAAGATGGTACTTGAAATGTGAAGGAAGATGGATCGAAGTTAGGCCCGGGTAGAGTGGGTTGTGCCGTAGCTGAACAAGGTGGCACAATGAATATATTTGAGGCCACACCTGAAGTTAACACCTGGGGGCGAGCCTCAGAAGGTGTTCCAGCAAAGTGGGATGAAATGGTAGGATATCCCAGTGGGGTATTTGGATAACTTATGGGGATGTTGGAGGTCCCACTTGCCCTGGGAAAAGCTCAGGGAATCCAGGGATCGCACTTGGTGGTTCTCTTTCATTGGCCCAGGTGTCCCATATTTCCATCATGCGGAGACGCAAAATTCTATTTTCCTCAGTAGTTGCTGACTCAGAAGTTGGGATGGCCGAGATCGGGCTATCCTCCGGAATAGGAACTGTTGGCAGATGACTTTCCGAAGACATTTCAACACTTTCTTTTGACCTCATGAAGTACGGATGTGAAGCCAGACTACCACAAAACCAACCATCTTACTATAGAACTTGGACTTAATAGTAGATAACAAACCAGTCAGTTTGAAGTAATTAACACATAGGTAATCGCACGTTGGGGGTGTGATGCACCTATATAGTTAAATGCATTTCTACGTGTTTCGCAACGGTTGCATGTTTCATCCCGGCTTTCGCTTACTTCCAATTTTTTTCTTTCCACTTCGGCTCTTTGATGTTTCTCCTCTCATTCCCATTTTCTTCTCTTTTCTTTTCTTGCCCCTCTTTTTTTCGTTTTTCTTTTGTTTTTTCTTTGTTTTTTTTTGTTTTTTCTTTCGGTTATTTCCTTCCATATCCCTCTTTTATTTGAGTTATTTACAAAATCATGACCAGATAATCATATGGAGGTCATAACGGAAGGGTTTGATCGTCACATAGTCATCCCAGGGGATTACAACTTGCTGCTGAACTACTAGCAAGTGGTGTCTGCTCTAGCTCCTCTATATGCTGCCCTTAAGAACGAGGTGCTTAGGGCGATGAGCAATGCAGAGTTATCTCAGAAGGTCGCAGGTATGGTCTTGCATGTAGGTTCCTTTCCTTCCTTTTTTGTCGTTAGGTTTATGTGGTGATTGTCATTCTGTATTTTGTTTCTAACTTCTCCCCTTTTTTGTCAGACCCTCATCATGGAGATTGAGAGAGAGCGTAGGGAGAGGAGAAGGACGGGCCTTTATGAGAAAATGTCATCCAAATATTAACAGTATCATTCTAAGCATCGTGCGATGACCGACATTTATAATCAAGACCCTGAGTTTCAGTTGTTTCGTGAGGGGCTCAAACAGCGGGAGGATCAACTGGAGCATAAGATCGAAGAGTTGAGGGAGCATATTGAGGAGCTCATGAAGATTGTCGCTCGTAATAGTGAACTCAAGACTTCCCTTAAGGTGAAGGATGGCGAGCTTGAGTTGAGTAGGGGGTGATGGCTGAAAATGCCAACTTGCAGGCAAAGGTGGCCGGTTTGATTGTTGGGTTGAATGCGAAGGCTGTGGAGGTAGATGGGCTTAAGGACGAGCTAAGTGTTGGTACTGATAAGTTGGAGGCAGCTATTTCTGGGACCGCATCTTTGGATAATGTCCTCCGTGTGTGCATGTCAGAGCTGGCTGAAGAGAAGGAGGCCTCTGGTCTTAAGGTTGTGGGGCTCGAAGGGCGTGTCAAAGAACTAGAGGCAGAGCTGGCTGCGTTAAATGGACAAGTGGCCTTGCTGAGGGCGGAGGATGCAAGTCAACGTTCTCAACCTTCTATGTCTCGTGCCTCAACCGATCCGGTCGTGCCCCATCATTTATATGAGTTATGGGACCTTGCTGAGGCTCGACTTAACGTGTATAAGACTTTTCACGTCGAGGGAATGGGTACTGAAGCGGAGCTTCAGGCCGTACACACCGAAGCTCGTACAGCTCGTGAGGCATACGGGTACAACCCCCTCACTCCTAACGGGGATGAAATCAACTCTGATGATGCGAATTGTCTTGCTTCAGACTCATGGTACGAAGATGCTTACCCCACCGGGGATGATGTGTAGTCTTTGTTTGTACTTGCTTTTGTTTTGGAGTTTTTGCGGGGGGAATACTTGAGCCCGTTTGTAAAGACAAATGTAAATAACATTTTGATGCAATGTAAAATATATTTTGTTGATCGGCTCTTCTTTTGCAATGTTTATGAAATCCAGGGTAACTGTCGAGCCATTAAGTTTATTAAGTCGGTGGCCTTGGCCATTGGGATGTTGCTTCAGATTGTCGTCGAAGTAGTGTCCTATCGTAGTTCGAACGAGGTCTAACTCATATTTTTTGTCGATGGCCTTGGCCATTGGGATGTTGCTTCGAACTGTCGTCGAAGTAGGATCCCGTCGTAGTTCGAATGAGGTCGAACTCATGTTTTTGTCGATGGACTTAGCCATTGGGATGTTGCTTCGAACTGCCATCGAATTAGGATCCCGTTGTAGTTTGAATGAGGTCGAACTCATGTTTTTGTCGATGTCCTAGGCCGTTTCTTTGTTGGAGATTTGATCATATTCACGTAGGAAGACATGTCGTCTTTATTCATGTAATGGATGTTTGATTTTATACTTGTAAGGATCACAGTCGACTCTGTACATACAATGGAGATTTGATTAAATTCTTTTGTCACATGACCCTATTCATACAATGGATATGATTATCTATATCCAGTCCCTTCATTACTTCACTCCAAAGATCATGTCAAGGGGTCGGGGTAATGAACAACACTTCGATCCTCGAGGTGTCTCCCTTGTCGCCTCATTAAAAACCTCCCTGGGAAAACCCAATTGGGACAAAACCTGGGTGAGGGAAAAATAGTACGACTTAGGTGACGCCTTATTTTAGAAGTGGAAGTACTTGAGGTGGGCGACATTCCAGTTGTTTTGGAGTAGTTTTCCCTCCATTGTTTCTAACTGGAATGCTCCTTTGTTTGTTGCGGCTGTGATTTTGTATGGTCCATCCTAGTTTGTTCCCAGTTTTCCCTCATTAGGGTCTTTAGTTGCTTGTGTTTTAGCCTTGAGGATGTAATCTCCGACTTTGAGCGGTCGCACCTTGGACCTCTTGTTGTAGTACCTTTCTACTTGCTGCTTCTGTGCTACCATTCTTATGTGGGCCATGTCTCTCCGTTCTTTGACTTTATCCAGATCTTGTAGCCTACATTCATCGTTGCTTGGTCCGCTCTCGTTGGAGTATCTCAAACTGGGTTCTCTAAGCTCAACGGGTATAACTATGTCAGTCTTGTAAATCAGTGAATATGGCGTCTCGCCTGTGCTGGTTTTTAGCATAGTGCGGTATGCCAATAATACTTCCGGTAGTAGTTCAGGCCATAGCCCTTTAGCATCATCAAGCTTCTTTTTCAATATATTCAGTATTACTTTATTGGAGGATTCGGCTTGACCATTGGCGGCAGGGTGATATGGCGTGGAGAGTATTCGTTTGATGTGCTGCTTTTCGAAGAACTCAGTCGTTCTCTTTCCAATGAACTGAGGTCCGTTGTCACAGCTTATTTCTTTGGGAATGCCAAAATGGCATATTATGTTTTTCCATATGAACGCGATGACCTCTTGCTCACGTATCTGAGTGTATGCACTTGCTTCTACCCATTTAGAAAAGTAATCAGTTAAAACCAAAAGGAAGCGTACCTTACCTTGTCCTGCTGGGAGGGGGCCGTCTATGTCCATTCCCTACTTTATGAATGGCCATGGTGAAGTGATGGAATGAAGGAGTTCCCCTGCTTGATGTATCATAGGGGCGTACTTTTGACACTGTTCACATCTCCTGACATAGTCCGCGACTTCTTTTTTCATGGTGGGCCAGTAATATCCTGCGCGGATGAGGCATCAGACGAGGGCGCGGTTTCCCGTGTGGGCGCCGTAGTTCCCTTCGTGTACTTCTTCTAGTACTCGCCTTGTTTGATTTGTCCACAGACATTTGGCTAGGGGGCGCCGAACGTTTTTTTGTAGAGATCACCATTTACGATATTGTATCGGGCTGCCTGTACCCGAAGCTTTTTGGCTTCTTTTATATCTTGTGAGAGCGTTCCATCCTACAAATACGCTACGAGGCGGTTGAGCCAGTCCCAAGTTAAGTTTACAGAATGTACCTCGATGTGGTCTATTGCGGAATGGAGGAGGGTGACCACATTTTCCCTGTTGATATTTTTGGTGGCCGCAGCTAATTTGGCGAGGCCATCTGCTTCGATATTCTGTGCCCTGGGTATCTTGTCGAGGCAGCATTCATCGAATTCTGGCAGCAGTTTGTGAATTTCCGACTGGTACTTCTATAGTCTCTGTTCTTTTATTTGGAAAGTCCCAGTGACCTGGTTCACCACCAGTTGGGAGTCGCAATGGAGGACGAGCCATTGGGCGCCATATTTGAGGTCTAACATCAGACCTGCAATCACGACTTCGTACTCGGCCTCGTTGTTAGTCATCTTGTGGCATCATATGGACTGGTGAATTACTTCGCCTGTAGGGACTTCGAGGACGAGTCCCAGTCCCGATCCTGAGACGTTAGAGGCGCCATCGGTATAGAGGACCCAGAGGTCGGTATGCGCGGAAGCGCGGAGCGCTTCCTGTTCTACTTTAGACAATATTTTTGCGCTAAATTCAGCAATAAAATCGGCAAGCACCTGCGACTTAATGGAAGTTCGGGGTTGGTATGTTATGTCGTGGTCGCTTAATTCTATGGCCCATTTGGCCAGCCTACCCGATAGTTCGGGTTTGTGTAGGATACCTCTAAGGGGAAAGGTTGTCACAACCTTTATGGGTTGACATTGAAAATATGGTCTAAGCTTTCGTGAAGCTACGACTAATGCCAAAGCTAGTTTTTCAAGGTGAGGGTACCTTATTTCAGCATCAATTAAGGTCTTGCTAATATAGTAAATCGGAGATTGCGTACCTTCATTTTCACGAACCAATACGACACTTACAGCGACTTCGGAAACTGCTAGATACACAGGTAAACATTCTCCCGGGTCCGCTTTGACGAGTAGTGGTGGCGAAGATAGATATGCTTTTAGTTTTCTTAGGGCGTCGACACATTCTTCATTCCATTGTAGTCTGTGGTCTTTCCTTAGCATGTTGAAAAATTTGTGACATCTATCTGAAGACCGTGAAATGAACCTCGATAGGGCGACTACTCGTCCTGTCAATTTCTGCACCTGCTTTTTGCTGGTCAGTATCTCTGGTATTGCGTCGATGGCCCTGATCTAATCCGGATTGACCTCGATACCCCTTTGTGATACTAGGAAACCAAGGAACTTTCCTGAAGTTACGTCGAAGGCACATTTTTTGGGATTCAACTTCATTCCGTATTGCCTTAATATCTCGAAGGCCTCCTTCAGATGGCCGATAGGTCCTCTTTCTTTGTCGACTTTACTAGCATGTCGTCGATGTAAACCTCCATGGTCTTGCCTAGTTGTTCTTTGAACATCTTGGTAACTAGTCTTTCATATGTGGCCCTACGTTCTTGAGTTCGAACAACATTACCTTATAGCAATATGTCCCTCGGTGAGTGATGAAGGTTGTCTTTTCTTGATCTTCTTCGGCCATTAGAATTTGATTATAACCGGAGTAGGCATCCAAGAAGCTCGACAGTTTGTGCCCCGCATCGCATCGATGAGCTGGTCGATGTGGGGTAACGAAAAGGAGTCCTTTGGACACGCTTTGTTCAGATCAGTGAAGTCGACACACATCCGCCATTTCCCATTCTTCTTTATGACCATGACCACATTGGCGACCCATTGGGGGTATTTTGACTCTCTGATGGAACCGTTAGCAAGTAATTTATTGATCTCCTCGTTGACCGCCTCATTGATGGCGGCATTGAACTTTCTCCTTATTTTCCATACCGGCGGATGAAGTTGATCGACATTCAGCCTGTGTGTGGTGATCTCCCTTGGGATTCCTGGCATATCTAAGTGGGAAAAGACAAACAAATCGGCATTGTTAGTTAAAAACTCACGATATTTACCTGGTTTTGAGAGGTTGTGTCTGACATAAGCCTTTTTTGTTTTGTCAATGTTGTCCAATTGGACGGGATCGAGATCCTCTACAGTTGCCTTGCAAGCTTCTACAGTGTTCGGGCTTTGATGGCGTCTACTTGTACGTCGGGTCTAGTTCCCGACATGGTTGATTGTTATGCCTCCGCACTTGCCCCTTTTAGTTGTTTTGTGTGTATGCAATCCTAGGTGATCCGGTAGCATTCTTGGGCAGTGCGCAGCTTGCCTCGGATGCTGAATATCCCCCATGGTGTGGGAAATTTGATTACTTGGTAAAAACTTGACGGGACAGCTCGCATGGCGTGTATCCATGGGCGTCCTATGATGGCGTTGTAGCCTGTTTCCTGATTCATGACGTGGAATGTCATTTCTAGGGTGACCCCTCCGACCAGGATGGGTAGCACTATTTCTCCAGATGTTCGCTCCACTGCATTATTAAAACCCGTTAGTGTTGTGAAATGCGGTATTATTTTATCCTCGAGTTTCGTTTGCACGAGAACTCGTGGGTGAACAATACACGCACCACTTCCGTCATCCACCATTATTCTTTTTAAATTGGTATCCGCGATGCATAAAGTTATAACCAAAGCATCATAGTGAGGGAAAGACAAATCATCGGTATCCGACTTATCAAAGATGATACTATCTTTGAGGTCGTCATACCGTTTGTGGAAAACTGTCCGCTTGAGTTTATATGTGGTGGTGAATTTTACATGGTTGATTACCGTATCGTCACCACCGCCAATGATTATTTGTATGGTACGAGATGGTGATGGTGGCTTTGGAGGTCCTTGAGGTTGGTCGCACCCACGAGCGAAGTTGGTCCATCCTTTATCGCTCAACAGTTCTTTCAGGTATCCCTGGTTTAACATCCTCACTACTTCTTGTCGCAGACCTATGCAGTCTTCGGTTTTGTGTCCTCTCTCTTGGTGGAATTCACACAGGACATTCGACCTCTTGGTGCTCGGATCCAATTTCATCTTTTGTGGCCACTGCACCTTCGTGCCAAGCTTTTCCAGTGCGTACACTATCTTTGAAGGGAAAACACAAAAATTATGAGCAGATAGCAATGAAGGCATACCTTTTTCGTTTTGGAGGAGTGAGATGTGTCGGGGCGCGACATCTGTGTGTCGCAGATGAGGTAGATTGGGTGTTTGGATATAGGGCTGATGCCTTTCTCGATTGAAACGTGGAAGTTGATCCCTTCGCCCGTCGTTACGTCGATCCCTCCTTGTCTCGGTCTAGACTGATGTTAATCGCTGAAGTGGGCCGTTTAGGTCGTCCTCGTCTGCACTCACTTCGGTGCAATAGGCGTTGTGGATATTTTCCCATGTGGTGGTGGTGGTGGTGGTGGGGTACTTCATGAGTGTACTGAGTAGTTTTTGGTCGCTTTTGATTTGCTTCTGTTTAACCCATTTTGAAAGGCTGCTACTATCATCCCTTCTAACACGTTCGGTAGGCTCATCCTTACTCTGTTGAATTGGGCTAGGAAATCTCGAAGTACCTCGCCCGTCATTTGCCTGATGGTGAAGATATCATTGACCCTAGCCTCAGCCTTTTCCGCTCCCGCATGAGCAGTGGCGAAATTATCTACCATCTCTTTGAACATCAATATCGATCATGCTGGTAGTTGGGAATACCATGTCAATGCTTCCCCCGTCAGACTTTCGCCGAACTTTTTTAGCAGCACAGACGATACCTGTTCTTTTGATAGATCATTACCTTTTACTGCGGTGACGTAATGGATTAAGTGATCCTCCGGGTCTGTGGTCCCATCGTATATTTTCAAATATGACAGCATTTTGAAGGTCTTGGAATAGAATGGAGAGTTGCCCCTTCGATGTATGGTTGTTCGACGAATCGGCCCACATCGCATTTTGGTAACAACTTCGGAGCGCCTGGTATTTTATCAACCCTCTCCTGCTGTTCCTTCATCTGGTCGCGGAGTGTTTTGTCTCATTTTCCATCTCTTACATTTTCTTTAAGATGGTCGTGAGTGCGTTATTACCTGTATCAGTAACAGTACAGGTGTTACCTATTTGTGTAGCGTTTGGCTCATCGGTAGCAGCTACAGTTTCTGTGGGTAGCGTGTCTTCGACACCTCCCTGAATGGGTTTCTCGAGCATGTTGCTCAAGGCACTCGTTAACCATTCTTCTAGTAGCCTTTTAAAAACCGGTGGCGCTTCTCCTACTGTGGATGTTGAGGTTTCCCTCCTGCGCAAGATTGTTAGACGATTGTTAGATCCCCGTGCGGAGGAGGTGAGATCTCTCCTTCAGGTGTAACACTTGGTGTTGCATTCTCCATGTCTTTTTCTCCGGCTTCGTTGAGGGAATTCAGGAGGCTATTTGTGACACCCTTTATTGCCTTTAGCCCCGCTTCTCCTTTTCCCGCCATCGTTGGCTTTTATGGAGCTGAAGAAAGGTGATTATTTCTTTCAAGAATCTAGATGAAAACTACAATTTCAGCTATAGAAATCCCCACAGACGGAACCAAATTGTTTGACTCAAAAGATATTAAAACCTTTTTGAGCAAATCAATCAAAGATGAAGGGGTAACTCTTAGCTGAGGATAATAATCTCTAGAAAGATCAATAGACAAAATGAAAAAATTGGTCATGAGGTTTCTTTTTTATCATAAATAGTAATGTCTCCCGAACCTTCTTTTTTTGGTTACAAAGTTATTGTCCTCCTTTTATACTAAGAGAGAAATTCTTCTAAAATGTAAAAGACAAAATACAGGGAATATTCGAAGGAATATTCCCAACGTCCCCTGATGACTATACACTATCACAAGGGTCGTCCCGTCTATGGTTTGTCTCAGGGTCATCTCCCTTATGGCGTCAATTCAAGGAGGCTCCATCAATCGTCACACTCGTCGTCGGTCAAATTTGGACCCATACACCGACTAAGAAATTAAAAATATGCGTGTTAAGCAATGTGGCACTATGCCTTCATTTTAACTTATTAGTCGTTTTGAGGCATTGAAGGATTTTTGTAATTGTAACAAATGATAATATTTGCACATGCCTCAATAAAGTTTTCATTGTGACAATTATAACTCTTCTTGTTCTTTAGAAATTAACTAGTGAGGCTCGAACCATTTTATGCACACCTAGACATTACATTAGGTGACTTGTCTTAAAACTTGGAGTAAAAGGCTCGCACCGATTGTGATCTTAATATATTTTCCTTACACATTGCTATTTGCTAATAGGTTTGACGAAATGTGCCCGACACATGTTAACAAGTGGACTTTGATGTCTCAAAATGAAATTCAAAATGGCAATACACAAAGAAGAGGAAAATTTCTCATTTTCGGTTCATGCTCATTGAGGAAACAAATATCCGAGTCAAGTGGATCTCTATCTTTTTCGTGAAGTTTTCTACCCCATTTTATGCCAGCTTTTCCTCGATCTGATTTTGGATTATCGGTGTAAATATCAACTTATTGAACAAAATTGACTTAGAAGTCAGTCCATAATAAGAGTCTATGTGCCCCCACTAGATAGATAAAAGTACGCGAACATGAATACCGATTATGTACCAACAAGGCAACAACTACTTAATTATATCTTACCACTTACAATTCCGTCAAAAGAAGGGGGCATCAAATGAAACACAAATATTGCATGAATTACTAGCCCTTATACCAGCATACTAATGAGGAAGAAGAATTTACCAACAACCATCTCGTGGAAAATTCCTCTTCTGATTAATGTGATTCAACTGATGGATGTTGTCACACCCCAAACCTGGGGAGGCAAGATCGGAACCCGTTGCATCATTTAACCGACCGTACCAACCTGATACTAAGGGACTCTCAACATACAATGCTATACTTTGACCATAGGGCCACATTGCAAAACAATTTGTGAAACAAAATATAAAACTGAATGGAAACTAGCTCTGACTGAATATCAATATAAAGCTGGGCCGACAAGGTCGTCATAAATACTACAGCTGACAACCTAAAAAAATATATATATACAAGGTCTACAAGCCCAACATGATACTGCACTGACTGACATGATATGTGTACAAGCATCTACTGATGGATGTACTGTGGTCGGAACAAGGCTCTGACCTACCCATATAAACCCATATAATATATACTCTCTCTGCTTCAATTTATGTGAACCTATTTCCTTTTAGTCCGTGCCAAAAAGAATGATCCCTTTCTCTATTTGAAAAATAATTTACCTTTATGCAATAATTTATAGCCACACAAAATATATGTGCCTCATTTTACACCNGTGGAGCTTACCGATCAAGTTGAACTCGGATAGCACATCTTGCTACATGTCTGTCTATCTGAACTTGCATGCATGAAATGCAGCATCCCCAGAAAAGGGAAGACAGTACGAAATAATGTACCGAGTATGTAAGGCAATAGAATAACTGAAAGCTGAAATTGAACTGATAATATAATAACCGAAAGTAACTGGGAGTCAAAGATGATCTGAAGATATACTTACTTGCTGATACTCACTCAACTCTCTCAATATAGTAAGTAAAATAGTTGTCCGGCCTTATAAGGCTCGGTACGTGTAATTGCTCGATCGTATAGGGCTCGCTCATAGGCACTCGGTCATACTAGGCTCGGTATCTCGGCCATTCCGTGATCGATCATAGGCGCTCGACCACAGTACGCTCGATTTATAACTTACCATCTGATCTGAGGTTGCCCAATAGGGGCCTGCTGTTACACCCCATGTTTTCGTACATGGAAGTATGCCATAAGTAAATTGATATAAGCTCGGAAATGAGATGTTACATTCTGCATTTTCATACGTTAAAGTTTCATCGTAAGCGAATCGATGTAAGTTCGGGAATGAGATTATTTTGAGATTATAAGCATTATGCTATTTCAAACAAGTGATGAGTAAATTCGTGAAGGTGAGCGGGTAAGCAAATCAAAGAAAATGATTTTCGTCAAAGTTTGACATGTTGGGATAAAATAAGGCCCGAGCTAAAATACCTGATATTTATGGACTAGTACCATACAAGGTACCACATGACCATGATAGCAATGTGTATAAGGTATGTTAAACTTGAGTAGTATTTTAAGTAATTTGAGATAATCCTTAATTATATGGATTATTGAATAATGAGGGAATTAACAAGTTAATTAATAATTAGTGGATGATTAATTAAAGTCTTTGGATAAAGACTAAGGCATTAACGTGGCAGCCACATACATGAGCCATTAAGTGACTCTTGAACAACTTTTCAAGGTGGAAATCTTTAAAGAAATGATTGAAAAATGACTTCTTAAATTCAAGATTTGCATTACTCACAATGATATGGAATTCACCAAGAGTCATAAAGACTCTAACGTTATTGCTTCAGTAAGTATCTTACAAGGTTGTGATCAAATTCACAAAGTGATCATATGGAATTTGCTATAAAAATTCATACGAGATTTCATAAGGTAATAGCAACGAGATTTTGTGATTCTAAGGGAGTACGGTGCAATTTTTTTAAGAATATCATACGAATTTTTCCCTACTTCGATCTTGCCATCACGTGTTTTGTCGAAATTAACGTGTGTTAGAGGGATTGTCAAGAGAATTGACTCAAGTATGTTAAGGCTATCCCTTCTTTCCTTTTTGGCATGATCCATGCGATACAAACGAAATGAGAAAATGCACAACTTCCATAAATGACTCTATTCATTGAAATGCTAGAGATGCCTATGTTCTTGATTCTCCATATATCTTATTATTTTATCATATGTTCATGGGTCTCATAAAATACGTAAATTGATAAAGGTTATTTCATGATATCAATCAAAGGCATAATGGTCTTATGACAGTCCGAGAGATTTTGTTAATAGAATTCTCATGCATTGCATTCATTTATACATGTACATTGACCCATGACCAGATGGCGTTATATACATGTATATATGTATATTATATGTATATGCGATATGGAAAAGATGGACTCCTTCAATTGTTCAAAGCTAGCATTGGTTGAGATGCTCACTCCATCCAACCTGTCATGAATTTCCCTAAAGGCTTTGACATCATTCTCCCTAACTCTGAGAACAACAACTCTAATTTTGGAAACATCAGACCCTGTTTCCTTTGAAATGGCATGAATGTCACCAACAATAGACTGAGTGGCTATGAGAAGATTTTTGATTTTAGAGGGTTGAGAGTCAATGGTACGAAGCTTGTCACCAAGATCAGGACTACTAGGACTGGGATGAGGAATAGAGGGTGAAGGTTTGGGCTCTATAGGAGCATTCTTTGCTTCACTATCATGTTTCTTAACTAGGAGCCCTTGACACTCACGTATCCCATACTAGCAAAGGCTCTAGAATTGTAAGACTTTGAAACATTGATGAAGGGATAGTTGGACAGGGAAATTTGATGAGCTTCCAGAATGTGAGTGATTACCATGCCATAGGGTAGACTAGTGGTATCTTCAGCACTCTCGATCATGAAATTGATAACCCAAGATGAAAGCTTGATTTTGAGTTTGGTCACAAGGCAGTAAACGAAGAAGGTGTCTCTTTGAGAGAAAGTTAAAAAGGAACCAGTACATGGAAGCAAAGTAGTTGCTACAATGTGGGCCAGAACCCGAGTTCGA